TACACTGGACTAGGTGGGTGTTTGTTAGTAAACACGATCAGTGATCACTACACTGGACTAGGTGGGTGTTTGTTAGTAAACACGAGCAGTGATCACTACACTGGACTAGGTGGGTGTTTGTTAGTAAACACGAGCAGTGATCACTACACTGGACTAGGTGGGTGTTTGTTAGTAAACACGAGCAGTGATCACTACACTGGACTGTGGGTGTTTGTTAGTAAACACGAGCAGTGATCACTACACTGGACTAGGTGGGTGTTTGTTAGAAAACACGAACAGTGATCACTACACTGGACTAGGTGGGTGTTTGTTGTTTTTGTTGTTCGGCACGCGGATGTCCAACATTTCGCTCCACGTGTCGGGAGCTTCTTCTTGATTGAAAAAAAAGGCCCACAAACACCACGTACGTGGGAACTCAGGTGTAAGAAGTGAGCCTCGACTCGACATCATCGGATTCCTCCGGTATGACTAAAGATTCTGAATCTAACACTTCAAACGCAATGTTACCAGCATGCCAGGTTTGGCTTGAGGAAGAAATGAAAGTTTTTTTGTTTATATTTCTGTTCAGGCCACATTCTAAGCTGAAGGGGCAAGTGAGCACGTGTGTGTGTTTGTTTTCTATCACGGGGGGGGGGGGGGGGGGGGGTCGGTAGTGTCGCGGTTAGCGCTGCGCTACGAACCCGGTGACCCGAGTTCGATCTGGTCCTGGGCCTCCCTGAGGTCCACTCAGCCTCAAATGAGGACCTGGTCGCGGTGTGTGTAAACATCGCCGCTGTGGAGACAAAGGCGGCCGGGCGTAGTGCTGGCCACCCACCCCCTCGCGTGGCCTTCGTCGGTGCTCACGAACAGCAACTTGGCCCCAACAGTCTGTTAAGGCCATATGGGGGATCTTTCTCTTTTCGATCACGGTCATTGGGCACGGGCCCCGATGCTCAAAACGCCACGCGGCCAGCAACAAAAACATGGGCTGATAAATCCGGGACAAGTTCCGGCTGAGAAAAAAAACGACAGGAAAAACCATCGAAGACGGTTATAATGTTAGCATTGTTACTGCGTGCCGAGTGCACACAGACGGACAGACACACACGCCACGTGGATTTTTAATACAGTTCCACGTCAAATTCTCTCTTTAAGATCACAGCCGTGCGTCACACTACACCGAGCCGCAGGCTTGCGCGCACGCACGCACACGCGCGCACGAATGTTAACTCATGACAGAATATGCGTGGTATGCAGCCTCCCAAATGCATCACTCTCCTGCCACTGCTACTCTACTACCTTGGTTAGTGTTCCCGTGAACTCCACTTATTCATTCCTCCACGCATGCTGAGACCTCGGGTCGACCAATTTCTAATAATAATCCTCATAATTTACAATTGATTGCTGTGTTCAACCACCACACAATGCAAGTCACAACAACAACAGTCACTCACTCACCCACTCATTCACCACACTAGCGGCCACAACAACACACTCACCCACTCACTCTCCCACGCAGCCACTCACCCACCCACTCATTCACCCATTCATTCAACACACTGGCGATCACAACAACTCATTCACCCACTCACTCTCCCACCCAGCCACTCACCCACCCACTCATTCACCCACTCATTCAACACACTGGCGATCACAACAACTCATTCACCCACTCACTCTCCCACAGACAATCATTCACCACACTAGTGGTCACAACAAATACACTCACTCACTCCCTCACCACACTGCAGGTCACCTCACTTCTCTATCTCCCGTTCCTCCCCTCTCACCGCTCCACCCGGTGGAACTCCCTCCCTCCCATCGTCTCCAACATTCACAATCCCCTGTAGTAAATCGCCTCGCTCATTTTAGGAAAACGTATCTATTACAACTGTATAATGCACACAACTTGGCGTGCACGCACACAGACACATACACCGCACGGTAACTGTTTACACGCCGGTATTAAGTGTGGCACTACAACCATGGTTCTCTTAAACATTACCATAACACTGCACCCCCTTGGTTCTGAATCGTTAAAAAACGCGCATAACGTTAATAACTACGTAGGTGAGATGAAACAACGTGGTTGTGTAACTTACGTGCCCCATGATTAATTTGTGTTTTCGATGATTACCTCCTAAAATAATCTGGCCATGTCTCACTACCCCCTAGGAAAGGGCATCTCAGAAGCACCGTCAGCGGTGTGCGTGCATCCCAGGTTACAACTATGTAAAATTTTGATTTAAAGCTTTCGTGACTGCAGTAATTCATATTCTTAGCTCTTTCGGTAAATTCACGTTGAAGGGAAACAATAAAATATATATAAAACAATAAAAATTCTGGCTTAGCGATCATTGGAAGGATTTGATCAACCATTTCAGGTCTTAATTGATTGTTCACGCTTACAGTGGCTTTCAGACAGCATACATTAAATTTTCGTCTCCCCCCTCCTCTTTTCAGAACATAGATGGACTAGTCCTTCTAAATAAACTGCAAAATCGCTGCGCGTGGAGCTGACGTTTTTTTATAAATAAATGCACCGTTTAAAAATAAATAAATGAATGCAAACCGACACACCTGATGACGACCGTTTGAGTTATGGTCGAAACGTCGTGAGAATTTTTTATTGTTTTATATATATATTTTGTTATTTTGTTGTTTCTCTTCAACGTGACTTTACCGAAAAAACTAAGAATATGAATTACTGCAGTCACGAAAGCTTTAAATCAAAACCTATGCAGTTATTAACATTATACATTTTTTATCGATTGAGAATCAAACAGGCGCAAGGATGCACAGTGAAGGTTTAAAGAACCAGTGGGTGAGTGGCAGCAACGGTTCGGACATCACTCGCCACCGATGTGTTGTGACCCGCGGCCAGAATCGAACTCGGGGGAGTGCAGTGCGCTAACCATTGCGCCACGGCTCCCCCCTTTCACAACACCCATCACCCAATGTGCCAAGAGCAAGCGAGAGATTTTGGTACCAACCTAAGGTTGCAGGCTTTCGCGACCAACATCATCCATAATATATTGTAGGTTTTTTTTAAAAGTTAGATCTCGTAAACATATAAATGTGGCGATTTAAAGCTTTCGTGACTGCGGGGATTCATATTCTTGGTTCTTTCGGTAAAGTCACCACGTAGAAGGGAAACAATAAAATAATAAAAATATAAAACAATAAAATTCTCACGACGTTTCGACTGCAACACAAGCAATCATCATCAGGTGTGAAAACCACAGCAAGAACATTTGGAAAAAGTGTTTTTCCACACCTGATGATGATTGCTTGTGTTGCAGTCGAAACGTCGTGATAATTTTATTGTTTTATATTTTTATTATTTTATTGTTCCCCTTCTACGTGACTTTACCGAAAAAACATAAGAATATATAAATGTGTCGTATAACCCGCCACTACCTAACAGCCAATTAGTAAGGTTTGTCAGGTACAAATAAGTTGCCCAATTCGTTACTAGTACAGCACACCGGTGTGTTGGAGAGCAAATTCACATTTACAATCTGAGTACTCGATTTGCTAGTAACGAATTGGCACGTTCTGTTTACGTGAAGAAAATCTTACTAATTGGCTGTGTCGGGTGGTGGTGGGTTTACCGACACATTTATATGTTAACGAGATCTAACCCAAAACAAACTATACTGAGGTAGCAACACATTTGGTCGCACCGAACGACCAAGTCCAATCAGTGGGATTATGTTGAAAAACCAAACTCATTAATCACATCATTCAGGGACATTGGCCACGCAGATAAATCGGAAGAGCCTTAAGTTGTGCCACTTTCTAGGTGGTATCGACTCGTGAGGCGTCTTCTGGGCTCATGGACTAGAGCATCTGCAGTCACAATAATTTTGAACGAGAAAATCACAGAATTTTTAATATACACACACACACACAAATGTTTGAATTAAAGACACAGAGAGAGAGAACCCTGCAGTGCAAGCGCGTATGGTACTGTCTAAGAAGAGCAGGTGAGTGGTGGTGAGTCAGGGCAGCAGGTGAGTGGTGGTGAGTGAGTGGGCCGTCAGGGCAGCAGGTGAGTGGTGGTGAGTCAGGGCAGCAGGTGAGTGGTGGTGAGTGGGCAGTCAGGGCAGCAGGTGAGTGGTGGTGAGTGAGTGGGCAGTTTGTCACGGCAGGTGAGTGGTGGTGAGTGGGCAGTCAGGGCAGCAGGTGAGTGGTGGTGAGTGAGTGGGCAGTCAGAGCAGCAGGTGAGTGGCGGTGAGTGGGCAGTCAGGGCAGCAGGTGAGTGGTGGTGAGTGAGTGGGCAGTCAGGGCAGCAGGTGAGTGGTGGTGAGTGAGTGGGCAGTCACGGCAGCAGGTGAGTGGTGGTGAGTGGGCAGTCAGGGCAGCAGGTGAGTGGTGGTGAGTGGGCAGTCAGGGCAGCAGGTGAGTGGTGGTGAGTGGGCAGTCAGGGCAACAGGTGAGTGGTGGTGAGTGGGCAGTCACGGCAGCAGGTGAGTGGTGGTGAGTGGGCAGTCAGGGCAGCAGGTGAGTGGTGGTGAGTGGGCAGTCAGGGCAGCAGGTGAGTGGTGGTGAGTGGGTGGGCAGTTTGTCACGGCAGGTGAGTGGTGGTGAGTGGGCAGTCAGGGCAGCAGGTGAGTGGTGGTGAGTGGGCAGTCACGGCAGCAGGTGAGTGGTGGTGAGTGGGCAGTCAGGGCAGCAGGTGAGTGGTGGTGAGTGAGTGGGCAGTCAGGGCAGCAGGTGAGTGGTGGTGAGTGGGCAGTCAGCGCAGCAGGTGAGTGGTGGTGAGTAGTGGGCAGTGTGTCAGGGCAGCAGGTGAGTGGTGGTGAGTGGGCAGTCAGGGCAGCAGGTGAGTGGTGGTGAGTAGTGGGCAGTGTGTCAGGGCAGCAGGCGAGTGGTGGTGGTGAGTAGTGGGCAGTGTATCAGGGCAGCAGGCGAGTGGTGGTGGCGAGTGGTGGTGGCGAGTGGTGGTGGTGAGTGGTGGTGGTGAGTGGTGGTGAGTAGTGGGCAGTGTGTGAGGGCAGAAGGCGAGTGGGCAGCACCTTCCTGGATGAGTCGCTTGCACAGTCCCTGGCTGCTGCCCAGCTTGTCCCGCTCCGTCTCCAGCTCGAGTACGTAGCCGCGCGCCTTCTCCTCCTCCATGGCTGCGTACAGCTCCTCTCTCTCTCTCTGAGGTTGGAGGCGCGAGGGCTGCCCCTCTCCTTCTCTCAGGGGCAGCACGGGGCCACAGGGGGGGGCAGCACGGGGCCACAGGGGGGCAGCACGGGGCCACAGGGGGGCAGCACGGGGCCACAGGGGGGCAGCACGGGGTCACAGGAGGGCAGCACGGGGTCACAGGAGGGCAGCGGCGCTTCTCGCCGTTTCAGCTGCTGTGTTTTGGGTGATCCCGGCTTCGCAAAGGCTGCTGCTGCAGCTGCTGCTTCTCCCTGGTTATCGGTGGTGGTATCCCTTTATAAAACCAAAGTAAAACAACGACGACGATGATGATGATAGCGACACCACAGCTTGACAATTGCGATCGCTGCTGCTGCTACTGCAGCTGCTGCTCCTGCTGTCTGAAGCCGCTTCAGCCTCCCGCAACTCCCGCTCGGTATCACTCCGCGACTAACCACCCACCCCCACCCACCGCCGGGCCACGTCACCGCCGACTTGACTCACGCCGCGAGAAGAGAGGAAAAATAATCCCCCAAGAAGAGAGATTAAAACGGCGCGAAGTTGAATTTAAGAAAGGAAAACAACAACGAGGAAGGACGGACGACGCGATATTAGGGGCCATCCATTTAGTACGTCCGCATGGAGCGGGGAGGTTAACACAAATGCGTTCGCTTGCGTATGAGTGGTGCATGTTTGCTTAAGCACGTTAATATTATTAATCCTTGATCGTTTCTGCGTGGATTAAATATCGGACGTTCTATAGGATTCGGGGGGGGGGGTCTTGAGAGATTGTTATGCACCTCACCAATCACTCACCTGCTCACCAATCACTCACCTACTCACCCTCACCAACTCACCCTCACCAATCACTCACCTACTCACCCTTGACAATCACTCACCTACTCACCCTCACCAATCACTCACCTACTCACCCTCACCAATCACTCACCTACTCACCCTCACCAATCACTCACCTACTCACCCTCACCAATCACTCACCTACTCACCCTCACCAATCACTCACCTACTCACCCTCACCAATCACTCACCTACTCACCCTCACCAATCCCTCACCAATCACTCACCTACTCACCCATCACTCACCCTCACCAATCACTCACCCTCACCAATCACTCACCTACTCACCCTCACCAATCACTCACCTACTCACCAATCACTCACCCTCACCAATCACTCACCTACTCACCCTCACCAATCACTCACCTACTCACCAATCACTCACCTACTCACCAATCACTCACCTACTCACCCTCACCAATCACTCACCTACTCACCCTCACCAATCACTCACCTACTCACCCTCACCAATCACTCACCTACTCACCAATCACTCACCTACTCCCCCTCACCAATCACTCACCTACTCACCCTCACCAATCACTCACCTACTCACCCTCACCAATCACTCACCTACTCACCAATCACTCACCTACTCACCCTCACCAATCACTCACTTACTCACCAATCACTCACCTACTCACCAATCACTCACCTACTCACCCTCACCAATCACTCACCTACTCACCCTCACCAATCACTCACCTACTCACCCTCACCAATCACTCACCTACTCACCCTCACCAATCACTCACCTACTCACCCTCACCAATCACTCACCTACTCACCCTCACCAATCACTCACCCTCACCAATCACTCACCCTCACCAATCACTCACCTACTCACCCTCACCAATCACTCACCCTCACCAATCACTCACCTACTCACCCTCACCAATCACTCACCTACTCACCAATCACTCACCTACTCACCCTCACCAATCACTCACCTACTCACCCTCACCAATCACTCACCTACTCACCAATCACTCACCTACTCACCCTCACCAATCACTCACCTACTCACCCTCACCAATCACTCACCTACTCACCCTCACCAATCACTCACCTACTCACCAATCACTCACCTACTCCCCCTCACCAATCACTCACCTACTCACCCTCACCAATCACTCACCTACTCACCCTCACCAATCACTCACCTACTCACCAATCACTCACCTACTCCCCCTCACCAATCACTCACCTACTCACCCTCACCAATCACTCACCTACTCACCAATCACTCACCTACTCACCAATCACTCACCTACTCACCCTCACCAATCACTCACTTACTCACCAATCACTCACCTACTCACCAATCACTCACCTACTCACCCTCACCAATCACTCACCTACTCACCCTCACCAATCACTCACCTACTCACCCTCACCAATCACTCACCTACTCACCCTCACCAATCACTCACCTACTCACCCTCACCAATCACTCACCTACTCACCCTCACCAATCACTCACCCTCACCAATCACTCACCCTCACCAATCACTCACCTACTCACCCTCACCAATCACTCACCCTCACCAATCACTCACCTACTCACCCTCACCAATCACTCACCTACTCACCAATCACTCACCTACTCACCCTCACCAATCACTCACCCTCACCAATCACTCACCTACTCACCCTCATCAATCACTCACCTACTCACCCTCACCAATCACTCACCCTCACCAATCACTCACCTACTCACCCTCACCAATCACTCACCTACTCACCCTCACCAATCACTCACCTACTCACCAATCACTCACCTACTCACCCTCACCAATCACTCACCCTCACCAATCACTCACCCTCACCAATCACTCACCTACTCACCCTCACCAATCATTCACCTACTCACCCTCACCAATCACTCACCCTCACCAATCACTCACCTACTCACCCTCACCAATCACTCACCTACTCACCCTCACCAATCACTCACTTACTCACCCTCACCAATCACTCACCTACTCACCAATCACTCACCTACTCACCCTCACCAATCACTCACCTACTCACCCTCACCAATCACTCACCTACTCACCCTCACCAATCACTCACCCTCACCAATCACTCACCTACTCACCCTCACCAATCACTCACCTACTCACCCTCACCAATCACTCACCCTCACCAATCACTCACCTACTCACACTCACCAATCACTCACCTACTCACCCTCACCAATCACTCACCCTCACCAATCACTCACCTACTCACCAATCACTCACCTACTCACCCTCACCAATCACTCACCCTCACCAATCACTCACCCTCACCAATCACTCACCTACTCACCCTCACCAATCATTCACCCTCACCAAGTTTGAACGCAGCGCGTGCTGAGGTGAATGTGACATCAACACTCACAACCCCCGCCCCCGGCTTCCGGGGGCGGGGCCAACGACTAAGGGGGTGGGGCTAGAGTTAGAGGGCAAGGCCAGTGTCGAGGGGCGGGGCTAAAGTGCGAGGGCGTGGTTAGAGGTAGAGGGCGGGGCCGGCCGGCGGCGGCAGGGGGAAGGGCTATGGCTCGCCAGGGGCAGAGTCACAATCAAGGCCCTTTGTAACGCTAATTAATTGTAATTAGCGTATTTGTTTACGTGAAGGCCGGTACGGCACACGAAAGGGGGGCAGCGCCACGTGTAAACGTCGCCACTGCATCGCGAGTGGGCGACGTTTACACACCGCACCACGCACAGTAATCCCTTGCCAACCGCGAATTTACCGACCGCGGGATTTGGAGTATATGCGGACTTACTTTTATATCCCTAAAATAGTTTTTTTTTGTGGGTTAGATCGCGTAAATATAAATGTGTCGTTAAACCCGCCACCACCCGACAAAGCCAATTAGTAAGGTTTCTGACGTAAACAAAACATGCAAATTAGTTACGTGTTCAGCACGTCTATGTGTTGGATAGTAAACCCACGACAACATCTACAATTGTAGATGTTTTGTTTACGTCACAAAGCTTATTAATTGGCTGTGTCGGGTGGAAAACATTGGTCGCGAAATCCTGCTGCGTGTTAAACGCCGATTAAATCCGTGGGATTGTTTTAGTATTTGTGGGATTTTCAGTATGGCACGATGGGTTATAGCTCAAATGATTTTTCACGCGATATGGTTGGGGGGTCCTTGCTATTGAGTCATTTGTTTCCCAATGATACCAAATGCCCTGCTGTCAATCAACATCAATAATGTGACGTATCAATAACAGCAATAACATTTACAACAAGTGATATATATATATAACTGGTAACCAACGTCAACACCAACCACGATTTGACACATCACCAACTGGTGATGCTGCTGCTACTGGCAGCGGTACACAAGCAGTTCAAAACAACAACAGCGACAAAACTCAACCAACACGTTCCCTGGCCATTACACTGTGTCGCCCGGACAGGAGGGAACATCTAATTGGCGACGTTTCGGACAAAGGCCCTTCTCCATAGCGCACACAGAGAGAGGCCAGAGAAGATGAGTGGATAAAAGTTGGAGCCTGACGATAATTAAATGGCACGAATTTCAACGTGTCTCGTTGTACAGTGGTGCAATTTGGCATCTGAATGGATACGTGCCTTTGTTCTCGTCTTACTTGTGCAAGGGTTGCGCCTACAGGCTCGGGGCAAGTCGTGGAGGGTAGATGTAACACCCGCTGTCACTCCGCTCCTGGATGATGTCCTCCCCTCGCCGTACGGGATCGCAGGGGTTGTCTGACAGACTGTTTGTGACAGCCTAACGCCAGACTAGATTCGAAGCTTTCGTGAATGCAGGAATTACTCTTTGGTTCTTTCGGTAAAGTCACGTAGGATAGAAATCAAATGAAATAATAATAGAATACGACATTTCGATTGCAACACAAGCAACCATCATCAGGTACAAATGAATGAGAAAACAAACTTAGTAAACTTGGAAATAAAATGCAATACAGCACAGAGAGTCGGCCAACACAACAGTCAACACCCCACCTGGTTGATTACGTTCTTCCAAAGATTGCTAAATTTGAGAAGAGAGACAAAACATAGACACGGAGACACATAGACAGACACATACGCAGAGAGAGATTCACACAGAGACAAACAGACTGACACACAAGCAGAGAGAGACTCACAACATAGACACACAGAGACACACAGAGAGAGAGACACACACAGAGACACACACAGAGACACACACAGAGAGACACACAACATAGACACACAGAGAGAGACACACAACATAGACACACAGAGAGAGACACACAACATAGACACACAGAGAGAGACAGACAACATAGACACACAGAGACACACACACAGAGACACACAACGTAGACACAGAGAGAGAGACACACAACATAGACACACAGAGAGAGACTCACACAGAGGCAAACAGAGAGAGACACACAACATAGACACACAGAGAGAGACACACACAGAGACACACACAGAGACACACAACATAGACACACAGAGACACACAGAGAGAGACACACACACACAGAGACACACAACATAGACACAGAGAGAGAGACACACAGAGAGAGACACACACAGAGACACACATAGACACACAACATAGACACACAGAGACACACAGAGAGAGACACACACAGACACACAGAGAGAGACACACAGAGAGAGAGAGACACACACAGAGACACACAGAGAGAGACACAGAGACACACAGAGAGAGAGACACACAGAGACACACAGAGAGTGACACACACAGACACACAGAGAGAGACACACAACATAGACACACACAGACAGAGACACAACAGAGACACACAGAGAGAGACACACATAGGCACACAGTCTAACGCCAGTTCTGCCATTACGCGTGTCAAAGAGCATAGACTACCATCACGTGAACTCCGATCATCCTCGCAGCAGCAGCAGCGGCTTTTGGCTTGGAACAAAGACAGTGGTCACCCCATCGCACAGCGCTCTCAGGTGCGCTTCTGCGGACGTCTGGAACGCTCTTCCTTCTGATATTACGAAGCCACTGGGAGCTATGCACTTTTACATCACCATCTCGATTGACAAACTCAGTTTTTAGAACCGCTTTTTAGTGTTTAGTTAATTGCCCTCCCCCCCGCACCTCCGATTAGCACGGCTGGCTACGTACGGTGCGAAAGAAGTTCGACCTGTATACGTGTGCAACTCTCCCTCTCATCTTCGTGGTCGCCATTATTTTCAATTACCCACGCGAGTGTTTTTGTTATTGTTATATTTGTTCTGATTGCTACTTACCTCATTGCTGTACCATATCATTAGACCCCCTTTGCCAGTACCAACATATAATAATAGGTGGTTTTCCCCCTTTTTTTTCTGGCAACAAAACTGCAACCTTTTTACGAGGAATCACGTCTGCATTCACCACAATACTTGTGGTGAAAATGTAAACGAAAACCCACCCTGAAAATATGATGCATTGTCCTTGAAACTGATTGGTCCACACCAGATACGGCTTTCTTTTTGCCACTATCAAAGTAACGAGGGCTCGGGGTCAAGCATCTACATCATTAGACCTCCTTTGCCAGTACCAAAATATAATAATAGGGGTTTTCCCCTTTTTTTCTGGCAACAAAACTGAAACATTTTATACGAGGAATAATGTGTGCTGCACCATACTTTAAATTTGTACTGTTTGTACCTTCATCATTTTGGTGAGCCACGTCACACTCTCTTGCAAACTAAACTATTGTCCTGGTCTCTTTTATGTATATTGAACTTTTTTCGCACCGTACGCCGCCAACCGTGCTAATCGGAGCTGCCAGAGTTCTTGCCCGCGTAAACAAAATCCGCTTCACTTGCACTCTTGCTCATGAGATAATCATATTCTTAGCTCTTTCGGTAAAGTCACGTTGAAGGGAAACAATAAAGTAATAAAATATATATAAAACAATACAAAAAATTCTCACGACGTTTCGACCATAACACAAACGGTCGTCATCAGGTGTGTCGGTTTGCATTATTATTGTGAGAATTTTTTTATTGTTTTATATATATTATTATTTTATTGTTTCCCTTCAACGTGAATTTACTGAAAGAGCTAAGAATATGAATTACAGCAGTCACGAAAGCTTTAAATAAAAATATTTTTTTATGGGATAATCCTTGTTTAAAAAAAAATCTAACCTTCAAATAAATGGTGGCGATGGCGACTTGGGGAGTGGGCGTTCATCCAGCAGTGGAGTGACCATGGCTTAGGATGATGATGATGAACCATCAAAACCACATCGGCCACCACCACCCTCATCGAATAAACAATCACAGAGACCACGTGACGCCGAGACCCGCTGTGGGTCTCGGCGTCTCCGCAGATAAGAATGCGATTTTATGAGACAATGAGCAGCAGCCGATTGGCTTTCCAGACCAAATCCGACGCAGCAGCAACAGCAATCGTTTAATTGAGAAACCTCTGAACCGGTTTCGGCCTCCTCATTATTCCTGCGCTCCAAACAACAAGATGCACGTACCGGTGGGTGAAAGCACGGCTATAGCGACCTCTAGTGGTTGCGCTAGGACGTGACTGCCATGCGTTGAACCTGCCCCGCCAGTAAACATTACAAACTCGGCTGTGTCTTTTGAGAACCGATTGGCTGTTCCGCAAAAAAAAAAAACACTAAATCGTGCAGCTGTAAACGTTGGTAGGGAGAGGTGGGCCAACCCACATTTTACCCCACAGCACGCGACCTGCTGGCCGTACGGACAGAGGTGGGGAGGGATTTATTCAACTTTAAATCATCGTTTCGACTTTCAGCTGCCGCGCCTGGAGGTAAGACTCCAGCGAGCCCAGTGGCAGCCAATCAGAGTCTGCAATTGTCCTGGAGGAATCCGAAAAGCTACGAAGCTGTTCCCCCCCCCACTCCCGCCACAGATGTACACCAACAACAAAGGGGGGAGAGGAACTCGCCCGAGAGGATGTCGAACCGAGTAGATGGGCCGATGAAAATCAGTTCACATCGCTGCTGTCAACCCATACCCCGTATTCCTGTACAGGGAAATTGAGTCTTCAGGTCCATACGGCGTACAGCCGTTTCAATACGGGCACAAAAATAATGTCTATTTGTTTGTGTTTCTCCCTTGTGATGGGACTTTGTAGAATGAGCGTTGAGATTTATAAGGGACACGATGTGACCAATAAGGCCTGAATGGATCTGTAATAAGGTAGGTACTGATAAGGGGTTGACAGCTGTGAGTTCAGGTGATGGGTGGATCGTCTTACATTTCACACACCGTGCCGATTGGACGGCTATATTTATCAGTGAAGTACACTCGAACAATTATAATCTCCCTCATTTGTAGTGTTTTGAGAGCCGGGTGTGTAAGTTGGGAGATTCTATCTGACGAGCCGCACAATTCCTGGTGAGACTCAGAATCCCAATGTAACAAGTGGTAACTCGGCTTTAGCGCCCAATATTCACGATTAAAGGTCTTTGGATTAGATCGCGGAAACTATTAACGTGTCGTTAACCCACCACCACCACCCGACGCGATCAATGAGTCGGGGTTGTCGCGTGAACGTGCCAGATGGATCTGCCAGTACTTCAGCAAGCGTGATGGCGAGCAGCATTTTGGCATCCCCAATGGGCAATTCTGGCAAATCGCCTGATGAAGCTGGTTGTAATCACCAGCGAAACGTCGTACTCCAATTGTCAATGTTGGGGGTTTACTCGCCCATTGACACAAACCCAGAAAAATATCAAAATTTTAAAACTAATTTCCTGCCTAAAATATAAAAAAAATTCACTAACACATGGGATTAACTTCTTTTTACAATAATGTCTACTAGTGCGTTGGCTACTAGTGCGTTGGCTGGGCCATGTAGCCCGCATGCCCAGCCACCGCATGCCGAAACAGCTTTTGTTCGGCCGGATCTAGGGGGATAAACGGGCGCGGCACGGGCTAGAGAAGAGATGGAGTGATGTGGTACAGGAGGACGTGGAGCTGAGTGGACTTGCCGATGACTGGTACCAGCGGTGTCAAGATCGGCCTCTGTGGAGGAGGCTCGTGAAGGACGCTACTGGGCAGTTGGAGGTAGTCGCCCTCCAGCAACAACGGAGGGCGGAGGAGCGACGCTCACAACAACGAGCGGAGCGCCGGGTGCCTAAAGCACAGCAGGTTGGCACAGTAGGGGGCACAGGTGGTGCATCAGCCAGTCATCTCAGTCAGTCGACCCGTGGCACCTGGGTCTGCCCCGTGACCTCCTGCCAGCGGGCGTTCGACACTTCACGTGGCCTCACGGTGCACATAGCCTGGCACAAGCGTCGTGGTGACGTCACCGCCACTTAGTGCGAATGGCGGTTGTTGTTGTGTGCGTCTGTGTGTATCTGTGTGTGTATCTGTGTGTGTATATGTGTATATGTGTGTGTCTGTGTGTGTCTGTGTGTGTGTCTGTGTGTGTGTATATGTATCTGTGTGTGTGTATCTGTGTGTATATGTGTGTCTATATGTGTGTCTGCGTGTGTATATGTGTGTGTCTGTGTGTGTATATGTGTGTGTATGTGTGTATATGTGTGTGTCTGTGTGTATATGTGTGTGTCTGTGTATATGTGTGTGTCTGTGTATATATGTGTCTGTGTATATGTGTGTCTGTGTGTGTCTGTGTGTGGTGGGGGGGAGCGGTAGTGTAGTGGTTAGCGCGCCGCGCTACGAACCTGGCGACCCGGGTTAAATTCCCGCTCACAGCCACCACCAGTGACGATTACTTTAACCGGTCCTGGGGCTCTCCTAGGTCGACTCGGCCTCAAACGAGTAACTGGTGTGGTGTGTGAACATCGCCACTAGCTGTGTACTACCCGGGCAAAGCCGGGTAGTGCACAGCTAGTACAGTATATTCTGTGTGGGGGGAGCAGTATATTCCAATTACGTCTTTGGCGGTGAGTCTGAACCGAGGAAGGCGAATCTGGGTGGATGGCAAGCCCTCTCACTCAGAGTGAAACATTAACAATCCCCGATCATTACACGATTTCGCTTTGCAGTCAATCCGGGAATCGATTTGCTGTTGTCTCGCCGTCAATCGCCTCCTTTGTGGTCGATTATTAAAGTTACAATGTTTTTGTTTGTTCTCTATCATGTTGTATTTAGTTATGTGAATGCTCATTCGTGGTCACATTACGTCATTTGTACGTACGGGATAGTGTATATAATATTTGGGAATCGAAAACATCGATTCAACTCCAGGTCAGCTGATCGTGATGTAACCGTCAGCTGGTCGCGTGCTGGATTCTTGACTGGGACGCTACCGGCGGGGAGGTGAGTGGTGATTGGTGAGTAGTGAGTGAGTGGTGAGTGAGTGGTGAGTAGTGAGTGGTGAGCAGTGAGTGGTGAGTAGTGAGTGAGTGGTGAGTATAGTGAGTGGTGAGTATAGTGAGTGGTGATTGGTGTGTAGTGAGTGAGTGGTGAGTAGTGAGTGAGTGGTGAGTAGTGAGTGAGTGGTGAGTAGTGAGTGAGTGGTGAGTAGTGAGTGGTGAGTATAGTGAGTGGTGATTGGTGAGTAGTGAGTGAGTGGTGAGTATAGTGAGTGGTGATTGGTGAGTAGTGAGTGAGTGGTGAGTAGTGAGTGAGTATAGTGAGTGATGAGTGAGTGGTGATTGGTGAGTAGTGAGTGATGAGTGAGTGATGAGTGAGTAGTGAGTGGTGAGTAGTGAGTGATGAGTGAGTGATGAGTGAGTAATGAGTGATTGGTGAGTAGTGAGTGATGAGTAGTGAGTGGTGAGTAGTGAGTGATGAGTGAGTAGTGAGTGATGAGTGAGTGGTGAGTAGTGAGTGGTGAGTAGTGAGTGAGTGGTGAGTAGTAGGTGGCCTTCGTCGGTGCTCGCGAACAGCAACTTGGCCCCAACAGTCTACACGTGGGGGAGGTTATCTTCGCACGTGGCCGTGCTGATGATCGCTCATGAGCGTGGACCCGGAAGGCCACAGCTGCAGTGAGGCTTTTGCCTCTTATGGTGGTGGTGCTGCGTCGATTGTCATGACGATCGCGACTTAAGGAAACGCGAGATGGAGACTTGGGTCCGCGTGGTTTATCAAACCTTCGTGCAAACGCCTCGCTGTGAATTACTTTGGCGGCGGTGTTGCCCTCCAGTCCGACTGCCCTTCCCACCCAGCCCGACTGCCCATCCCGCCTGACTGCCCTCCCGCCTGGCCCGATTGCCCTCCCGCCCGACTGCCCTTCCCACCCAGCCCGACTGCCCTTCGCGCCCGGCCCGACTGCCCATCCCGTCCGACTGCCCTCCCGTCCGGCCCGACTGCCCATCCCGTCCGACTGCCCTTCCCACCCAGCCCGACTGCCCTTCGCGCCCGGCCCGACTGCCCATCCCGCCTGACTGCCCTCCCGCCTGGCCCGACTGCCCTCCTGCCCGACTGCCCTTCCCACCCAGCCCGACTGCCCTTCCCACCCAGCCCGACTGCCCTCCCGTCCGACTGCCCTCTCGCCTGGCCCAACTGCCCTCCCGCGTGACTTCCCTTCCCACCCAGCCCGACTGCCCTTCCCACCCAGGCCGACTGCCCATCCCGCCTGACTGCCCTCCCGCCTGGTCCGACTGCCCTCCCGCGTGACTTCCCTTCCCACCCAGCCCGACTGCCCTTCCCACCCTGCCCGACTGCCCTTCGCGCCCGGCCCGACTGCCCATCCTGTCCGTCTGCCCGCCCTTCTCCCAACCGAATGCCCTCCTGACCGGGCCGACTGCCCTCCCGCCCGACTGCCCTCCCGCCCGACTGCCTTTCCCGCCCGACTGCCTTTCCCGCCCGACCCGACTGCCCTTCCCGTCTGCCTGCCCTCCCGAGACGGGAGAAGAGAAGCCAGGCGGACTAGAGAACACGCACGCTCGTCAATCAACCATCACGCCGGGTACAGGACAAGGAAACCATCACAACGGAGACATTGGCGCAGCGGGAGTGGTTCTTAACTTGTACTACAGCCTCGCAATGTATAATGTTAATGAATACGTAGGGGTTGATGAAACTAAGTGAAGTTGTAACTTACGTTGCCACGTGCTTCATTTGTGTTTTCGATGATTTACCTTCGAAAACAACTCTGGCCATGTCTCCCACCTCCCCAGAAAGGGCATCTCACAGCACCCCCAGGGGGTGCTCTGTGATGCACTCCAGGTTAAGAAGAACCACTGCCCTTAACACTACGCCTAACACGAGCACTACTCCTAACCACACACTAACCCTACCCCTAACACCACCACTAACCCTAACACAGTGGTTCACAACCTGTACTGAAGCCTTGCACCCCTTTGCTTCCCAAACGTAATGTTTTTTTGTAACGTTAATAACTACTTAGGGGTTAATGAGACAAAGTGATTGTGTAACTTAGCATGCCCCGTGCCTTAATTTGTGTTGTCGATGATTTACCGTCGAAAGAAAATCTGGCCATGCCTCGCACCCCCCCCCCTCCAGAAAGGGCATCACACAGAGCACCCCCAGGGGGTGCTGTCTGTGATGTACCCCAGGTTCAGAAGAAGAAGAGCCACTGCACTAAGGCAGCGGTCCACAACCTTTCTGGCACCAGGGACCGGTTTCGTGGAAGACAATTTTTTCACGGACCGGGGGGGGGGGGGGGGTTCATCATTGGGTCTTTCTCCCTTTTCAAAGAAGCTCTTAAGCGACGTTTCATTTTTATTACTCATTGTGGCTACTCGGGTTGTTAGAGCTTGTGGGCTTACCAACACCACGTGACTGAGACGAGTGCGCAGTGCGGGAAAGAGGCGCGGATGGATAGTGGTAAATAATAAAATAATGGGGGCAGGCCACGCGCGGACTCACCGCTGTCGCCTCCTGCTGTGCGGCCCGGTACCGGTCCGCGGCCCAGGGGTTGGGGGCCCCTGCTCTAAGGGAAGCGAGCAGGATTGGGTAGGCCATGTCCACGGCTCGAAGGGACAACAATGGTCGAGACGAACCAAAAGGAGGGGCACACGCCCCGGAGATAACGGTGACCGCGGAGATGGAGCCACTGAATCGGCTCGCGTGCAGCAGGAGCGAGATCGAGGATCGTTGCATCGGAGAACCGCCTGCAGTGGCGACGGCTTGGGAGAGCGAAGGCTTCATCCAGCGGGTGGATAGAACCGCGGCTGATCACGATGATGAAAGTTGTCTTGCGAGAGCATCGGGTGACGGAAGGGGCCTTGATCCACGCGTCAGGGTAGCGAGCGTTTACCTGGAGGGTCTAACACCTTGGCAGTTCGGTATCTGGCTCGCTGTCAATTCGTGTTTACCCCTCGCCTGGCAGGGTACGCGATCGTCGGCGCCAAGAGTTCTGCGGTTGTCGAGATATGGATTAGGCGGTGGGTGGCTCAAAGGTCAAGAGCGCTGAGCCGTCAACGGCTGGGACCCTGGGTTCAAATCCAGGCAGCCGCCCAACTGTGATTAAATCCAGGTTCTCGAGTGTATAGTGGAGATGGTGTATGCCTCAGCCTGGTCACAAACAACTCCACAAACACTATTGAATTCTAGCTTTAATTTTTTTTTTACTTTCATTCGAAGAGCATTACCCCAAGGCGGCAGGGTTGGTCGAAGATACTGCCTCAGACGCAACCTTGAACGGATTTTGCTCTATGACAGTGGTTCTTCTTCACCTGGGATGCACGCACTTCCGGGGGTGCTGCGAGGGATGGACTTTCTGGGGGTGCGAGACATGGCCAGATTTTGTTTTCAAAGGTAAATCATTTAAAACACAAATTGAGCACGGGCACGTTGAGTACAACTACTTTGTTTGATCAAACCCTATGTATTTATTAACCAAATTTTTTTTTTTACGATTGAGAACCAAATGGGGTGCAGGCTGCAGTAAAAGGCTAAGAACCACTGCTGTATGATGATATCTGCATCCGTGGGCCGTCTTATTTCTCAGGGGTACAAATGCACTGCTACTGGAAAATCACGAGGAACGTTTATTCCGTATGACATTTGAATGAATGTTTAATGCTTGCCTATGGGCTATGCATTAACTAGAGCCTTACATGTCAGCTGCATGTGAGGCTCGTTTCCAAACACCCCTTCATGGGCCCTGCTTCATAGCTCTCTGCCATCTTCTCTTCATGTTCTCGTCATAGCTCTCTGCTCCGAAGAAGGTGCATTCCCCAAAACGTCGACATTTATTTACGTGGCAGTGTTGTTGCCGTGTGTGTTTTGGGATTACGTTATTGATGCTTGTGCGCAGCGTCTCTTGTTCAGATGGATCTCGTGTCGTCTTACCGGACCTCCTGTGTATTGAGCAACGCGCATTGGCACGCAGCAATGGCGTACAAAAGCTCCTGTCCTTATCCACACCACCAGTTCAAGAGGACTGAATGTGCGTGGCACCCGCGAGTGTGGTTTTCAAAATCGAGAGTTGAGAAGACGATAGCCACCGCCGCCGCTACCACTGCCACCACCTTAGGCACCGTGCCAAAGGCGGCTGCTGTCGGCCGTTGCCTCAAAGGCGACGAGGTAGCAAACCCCCACACGGCCCTTCATCTCGGTGATGATCACAGCCGGCGTGTGGTAGCCACGTGGCCACCAGCTGGGCAGCAGCTGGCCAGGTGTAGCGCCCCGTTTTGAGGTTGCTTGACGGCACACTCTGCTACGCTTCCGAGCGCGTTTGCCGCCCCCCCCCCCCGCCCCGATGGGATTGGCCCAAACGGTTGTAAAATAACCACAGGAAGAGGAGCGGTCTCCGGCGAAGCGGTGAACATCGACCGCGTGAAATACTCTTATGTAAGCGCGCAACTTTATCTTATCTTCCCGTCGTCCCTGCGCCCCCTGCATGAACGACGGAGGCGCAGGGACAGACGTTCGATCACGTTGCAATCAACCTGCAGACGGCGGTCTTCTCGCACGGCCAGCAGCTCTATGTCGCCTTATCTCGATCCCGTAATCCCAAACAGGTGAAAGTCCGCAAGGCCATCTACTTAACGACGAGAGAAAAATTCACACGAAATGTCGTTTTCAATGAAGGCTTCCGGATGTAAAATGACATAAGCTTTTAATGAAATAAATGAAATGATCTAATTCAAAACATAATACAATTCAAGGATGTTTCATTTTAAAACTTCAAAACGTAGCATCGGGCGCTTGCGTGCACGCGTCGTTCGTGTGCAATTTTTTACCTGACTTTCCTGGCCGACGGCCGTAAATGGTTGGTCGGGGGTGCCGTAGGCGCGGCGACCCTGAACAACCCCTAGTAAATTGATAAAAATGCAGAAATCACTGCCAGGACAGGTTCGCTCGGCGTGCGGTCGGTGCGTCCAACGTCTAAAAATACATTGCGGCATATCCGCGCCATGCTTTGTAAAGGTACTGTGGCGGTAATGCCTCCGAGCTGCTTGTCGTTTCCCGGAACGTGCAAAATACCGATTTAGTTGATGACGCATCCTGTCCAAGCCCAGTTGTCTCAACTGTCAATAGTCTGTCCCTCACCAGTCCTTTGTTCTCTGTTCCTCGTCTCTTCACTCGATTTAATCCCACGCACGCCACCTCTCCGTGTCGCTGATGAAAGTGCTGTTTAATGTACGTTGAACTTCTTTCGCACCGTACGTAGCCAACCGTGCTAATTGAAGGTGCGGGGGAAGGACAATAAACCAAACAGAAAAAGCAGCACTAAAGAAATTAGTTTTCAGTCTCGTACAGCATGGAACAATTCCACCAGTGAAAAATGACAAAGATATTATTTTCGAGGAGATGTCTTAAAGTGACGATACTGAGCCCTATTGCAAAACAATAGTTTAGTAACTTTTTTAATTTTGGTGGAATGTTCCTGCCATGGTTCATCCCAGCCTTGGTCTGGTCTCAAATGTCGCTGAAAATATTTACAAAAGACTCAGCACCTGCGACTGTCACCTGCTATCGCCACCACCTGCCCGTGTGTAAAACTATACACGGGCACGCATGCACACACGTGCTCACACACACGGCCGTGGCAGTCTCGTAGGAAAACAGAGAAAAAACATTAGGGCAAACATTCGCCATTGCATCAGCTTGCACTTCCCAGTTATTAAGATCGACCTCTGTATTTGCTGACGGCCGTGAACGTCGCAAAGGTCAAACCGCACAGGCTCATTGCAGTGCTTTGATGGAGACAGATTTAAAACGTTTAACTATTAAAAACTTAACTTTTTATTTTATTTTACCAGGTAAGGTCCCACTGAGCTGTGTAGCTGTTTTTTTCAGAACCGACCTGGCAGCCACGAATGCTAGCTCAACGAGAAGTGGCTTATCGCGTGGACATTTGTAGCAGCAGCAGCCAAATATTCTAAACGCATGTTTACAAATGTGGAGGGAAAAACCGGTGGACCCGGAGAAAAATCCACGCGACCACGGGGAGAGAGAGTGCATGAAAACTCCGAATGTACAGCAGCAGGCGTCAGTGTCGGGATCGAACCCGTGACCTCCTGTACACCAGGCGAGGTAGTCAACATCTCATAGCCACCACGGCAGTACATCAAGTGGATTCATTTCCATCTGTCTTCCATCTGTTCTCTGGGTGCTTCGGTATCCTCCCGCATGCTTAAATGGTAATTTGCGGAATTGGCCAAACATCTCGAATGTACGGCCACAGAGCTTGGGCAATTAGCAGCACTGGTTCTGGCTGCGGCGTTACAGATTTGCGTGTATATTTATATTTAAAGAGAACGTGTTGACAAAGTAAAACATGGCGTGAGAGTTTCAGCGTGGGGATGGATGTGCTTTCCGGATTAACACAAAAAATCTGAAGATCCAATCTAGTTAATGAAATGTTGGATAATCCCGTTTTTTTATATTCGGATTGATCCAGATACATAGAATATATCACCGGCATGACATCACTTCCCTTAACAGTGGCGTCACCTCACACTAAGATGTGAAATATAAGAATAGGTTGTACCCATATCTGGCAATAAAACAGGTGCTTCGATGTTAATATTCCAAGTTGATGCCTCTTGCAAGGAATCAATTACTGCCTTAACCACACACGGTTCTTGTGGTGAACATGCAAACAAACATGGCGCTGATAACGCCTTTGAAACTGATTGGCCTACACCATTGACAGCAGCCTTCTCTATGGCCTAGTCTCACCACCACCACCACCAGTGTCAGGCCAGAGAACGCCAAAGGCGAACACTACAAAGACATTGCCACACTTATCCAGGGCATTTATCGCTCCAGGTGGGGGATACTGGAAAAAGGTGCCATCCATGATCGCGCTCAGACGTTCAGAATGAGTACACGTCGTCACGTCCGTGATATGAGGAATTAAACGAACGCGTCCTTCGTCTATAATTACAACGTTGCATCATGGTTCTCGGTCACATGACATGAGGCATAGGCTACATCGATTTATGAAGTGGGACAGTCTGGGCTATCACGCCGCGTGTTTTCAGAAGGCGAATCGGGATATCGCGCGGTGATGAACTGCATGAGGGAACGCACTTTTCGATAACGTGGATGCGAATTTGATATAACGCGATTTGATTGAACAGAACCGCGTCGCTGCGCCAGTAGGCATAGGCGGTCGTACGGCTGCCTCGGCGGCGTAGCATCATCATCATCGTCACACGAGCCATTGGGATGCTGCTGGATGCTGCTTGTAGATGCTACCCACGTGCCTCAGCCTGTGTACGAATCTCACGTGTTATCACGGACCGTGCTCTACCCCCTATGTTACATGTTATTTATTGTAACGTGATGTTACCACAATGTGGTGTTCTTCAGGAGCGCAACTACCACCGCGTTCTCTAGGAGAAAAGGCTATAAATTGAATAACTCGTGACAGTACTGTGAGGATGCCTTCTCCGCCTTCGTAACTTCACCAATTCACACGGTAAACAATGACCAACTTACCATTCATGTTGTCATTCATATTACCATTTATATTGACAATTATATGATATTTCATACTGTTCAGTGTTACAAAAAAACGGACGTGAATAAAGGGAACGTGGAGTGGCCTGTAAAATAAATACTCGCGGGGCCGTCTCCGATTGGGTCGTAAGGCGGTTGCATTGCCCACCACACACACCACAGCTACTTAGACGTGGTGCCTTGCTGCGCGCTGATTGAGACGAATTAAACCGTATTTAACTGTACTTTTAATCTTTTTCATGTAGTACCGCAGAAGGATACTTTTATTCTTGATTTGAAGCTTTTATTATTCATTCATTTCAGTGCATTTATTATTTCACTCGATTCTTATTCCCATTTATATAATGGTAAATCAATCCGGAGTTTCTTGCACAGAAACTATGTATATTGAGTATTTGCATATTGAGGTATTTACTACATCAGGTGTCCATACAAAAGTCAGAAGTTGACACGAAAAATCCGCCCAGCTCTGCGGTGAGCGATGTTCCCACTGCAAACCGAGACGTTTGCGAACAGGTCGTGCGAACAGGTCGTGCAAAGTTACAATTTGCATACAGGAACATTGTATTACTCGTGATGCGTGTCTGTTTAAAATACTGGTGGTTATAATAGGGTTTTTCCCCTTTTTTCTGGCAACAAAACTGAAACTTTTTTACAAGGATTCATGTCTGCATTAACCACAATACCTGCAGTCAAAATGCAAACAAAAAATACTATGATAATATATGCATTTTCTTAGTTCTTTCGGTAAAGTCACGTTGAAGGGAAACAATAAAATATATATAAAACAATACAAATTCTCACGACGTTTCGACCATAACAGAAACGGTCGTCATCAGGTGACGACCGTCATCAGGTGACGACCGTTTGCGTCATCAGGTGACGACCGTTTGTGTTATGGTCGAAAGGTCGTGAGAATTTTTATTGTTTTATATATATTTTATTATTTTATTGTTTCCCTTCAACGTGACTTTACCGAAAGAGCAAAGAATATGAATTACTGCAGTCACGAAAGCTTTAAATCAAATTATATGCATTGTCCTTGAATCTGATTGGTCCACACCAAGGGACGGATTTCTTTTGAGCCTCGACCCAATTGGTGCTCGACCAGATGACGCCAGAAGGTGTCACACAGCTCAAAGACAATGCACTATCAAAGTAATGAGGGCTCGGGGTGAGCATCTACATCATTAGACCTCCTTTGTCAGTACCAAAATGTAATAATAGGGTTTTTCCCCTTTTTTTCTGGCAACAAAATTGAAATCTTTTTACAAGGATTCATGTCTGCATTAACCACAATACATGCAGTCAAAATGGAAACAAACAACATACTATGATAATATATGCATTGTCCTTGAAACTGATTGGTCCACACCAAGGGACGGCTTTCTTTTGAGCTTCGACCCAATTGGTGCTCGACCACATGATGCCAGAAGGCGTACAGCTCAAAGACAATGCATTTTGACTGCAGGTATTGTGGTTAATGCAGACATGAATCCTTGTAAAAAGGTTTCAGTTTTGTTGCCAGAAAAAAGGGGAAACCCCTATTATTACATTTTGGTACTGGCAAAGGAGGTCTAATGATATACTGGTGGTTCTTAACCTTGAGTGTGGCCTTGCACCCCTTTGGTTCTGAATCGTTAAAACAATTTTAATGTTCATAAATACACAGGTTTGACGAAACAAAGCAAGTTGTCGCGCGGCAGCGATTAAACACCGCAGGCTCTTCTCTGTTTCAGGAGGGGACCTCGCGGGCACCGGCCGTGAGAGCCACGATGGAGGGCGTGGTGGTGGTGCACGGCGGCGCCGGCGTCGTCACCGACGACCGGGCTGAGGCCTGCAGGGCGGGCGTGAAGCGTGCCGCGGCCCAGGGGGCCCGCGTGCTCGCCGCGGGGGGCTCCGCCGTGGACGCCGTGGAGGCGGCGGTGGCGCTGCTGGAGGACGACCCCAACTTCAACGCGGGTGGGGCGCTCACGTGACCCCCCCCCTCCCACGCACGTGACCCCCCCCCCCCTCCCACGCACGTGACCCCCCCCCCCCTCCCACGCACGTGACCACCCCCTCCCACGCACGTGACCCCCCCTCCCACGCACGTGACCCCCCCCCCTCCCACGCACGTGACCCCCCCCCCCTCCCACGCACGTGACCACCCCCCCTCCCACGCACGTGACCCCCCCCTCCCACGCACGTGACCCCCCCCCCTCCCACGCACGTGACCCCCCCCCCTCCCACGCACGTGACCCCCCCCCTCCCACGCACGTGACCCCCCCCCCCTCCCACGCACGTGACCCCCCCCTCCCACGCACGTGACCCCCCCCCCTCCCGCACGTGACCCCCCCCCCCTCCCCCCCCCTCCCCCCCCTCTCTCCCCGCGCATGACCCTGTTGTGCAGGCGTGGGCTCGGTGCTCAACGCGGACGGGGATATCGAGCAGGATGCACTCGTGATGGACGGCTGGCGCCTCGCAGCCGGCGCCGTCTCCTGTGTGCGCAACATCGCCAACCCCGTGCTCCTCGCTCGCCTCGTCATGGACAAGGTGCCACGCTACCCCCCCTCGCCCTGGCCACACGCGGACTCACGAGGGGCGGAGGGGCGGACGGGAGGAGATTGGGACGGATGAATGGACAGGTGGATGGATGCGTGTATGTTGAACTTCTTTTGCACCGTACGTAGCCAACCGTGCTATTCGGAGGTGCGGGGGAAGGACAGCAAACTAAACAAAAAGCAATTCTAAAGACATGAGGTTTCAAGCTCGATGATTTAAAAGTACATAGCTCCCACTGGCTGCCTAATATTGGAAGGAAGAGCGTTCCAGACCGCTGCAGAAGCGCATCTGAAAGCGCCGCGTGATGCGGCGACAGCCTTTGTTCGATGGGCAGCCTAAAGCCGCTGCTGCCAGGATGACTGGAGTTTGCGTGATGGTGGTTTATCAGCGAGTTGGAAGGATGGATGAGTGGACAGGCGGACACGCGGGCGGTCGTAGGTCATTTTTGGGATAGGCCATGTGACGTAAATGTGTGTGGATACTACCCTCCACGACCCGACACAGCCAGACAATTTGAATTGTCACGCACGCAAGTGTTGAACCACGCGCCGATCAGCATTGTTTCAGTTCGCTCACCGGTGATTTGAAGGGGCAATTCCTCACAACTAAAGTTAGCCGGAGATTTGACCTAGCGCTGTATTTACCGGCGAGTGAGCTGACGCCAGAAGTCCTCCGCATATATGCGGGACTCCCAGAGGCACGTGGCAACAGCGAACGGTGATGATGCTACTGTAACCGACGTGTCCTGGTGAGCGTGAAACCGGTCTACAGCTGCGACCGCTGGGACGATCACGTCCTGCCAGCGCCTTGGGCTGACGGCATAAACGTCCAGTTCCCTCGGGCCCCGTTGGCCTGGACAAGGCTGTACGAGGTTTTGCGCGCGCGATGCTTGCACACCGCCGGGCGCGTGCGAGCGAGCGTGGGTGGCTAAACACCGGCCCCCGTCTGCCTGCGTGCACACGCGCGGTGGCAGACGAGCCACGCGATGCTGACGGGGAGTGGAGCGGCGGAATTCGCGCGCTCCCTGGGAGTCCCCGAGGTTCCCGCGGAGCAGCTGGAGACGCCGCGCTCCCGCCAGCGCTGGGAGAAGAACCGGCGGCCTGACCCCCAGCGCCACCCAGACGAGTAGGGCCCCCCCCCCTCACTACTCCCACCCCCCCCCCCCCCCCCCCCCCCACCCACCCCCTACCCACACTGCACCGGTACACACCAAAGTTCCCTCTTACCTATGTATACAAGTGAAATATGACTCTGGTCTCTACGATAGTCTACAGGTCCACTGTTAGCCTTCCGCAGTGGTGGCCAGTACCCCGAGCACCGTGATCCATGCTGGTGCATGTCACCGGGAAGCTTCGACCAACAATCGCGCGGGCGGATTCAACCCTGCAATGTACTCCAGACATAGCAAGTACAAACGCCGACTCGGTAGAAGTGATGTGCTTCAGTGATCTTCATTGCAAGGCCACAGCGGGCCCACTGGCAGCCCCTGGTGGCCTTTAGCGCGCACCCCACATCGTCTTCATTGTGTTGTCACAAGCCCCCAATGGTTTCAAATGGTGTGGCGGCCCTCGCACTAATGATGGCTTATCGGCGAAAGTGGCGCCCCTCTCAAACTTCGTGAAGCACACTGGTGTTTAATGCACAAATTCTTAGTCAGGGGATTTGCATTTGCCATCGGCCGTAAAGAAATGTCCTGTCTGCCAATGTCGGTGTTTGTTCCGAGTTGTCCTGATATTCACAACAAAATCGCTCGCGATGATCCACCCGCGGATCGCGATTCACGTACTAGCCTCCACCGCTCTATGGGATGGCCCACAGCCATTTACAATAAGTAAAAAAATCATCATCATCATCATCATCTGCCTCCTTGGGCAGGTTACATTAATCTCATTTCACACAGACGGTTTTGCCACCTAGTTTGCGTTACATGTGTAGTGTCAACGATTCAGAGATAGAGTTTCTAGGAGGCACTCTCTTTATTAACAGCTATCACGGTCTCATCTGCACACTCTCCACAGTAGCTCAGCCCAGCCTGTACACAACACTGGCCGTCTAACACTGACGGCGCTGACTGAGATAGCCAACTGCTCTCCTTCGTAGCGCAACGTCTAGCGGAGACGTTTAGCGACGCCGGCGACGAGACGACAGCGACGACGAGATGAGTCCATTCCCAGAACCGGCAGCCTGGGGCCTCCAGACGGGGTCCTCCGTGACCCTTACCCTAGTTCCTCCCCCCTGCCCACACACCGTGCACGCCCTCACCGGCGCGTGTACTGTCTGTGTCCACCACAGTTGCCGCTGTTGTCCACCAGCCGGCGCTATTACACTAGGCGTGTATTTACTCCCACTCGCATTAACAGAGCCACTGTGGTGAGACGTTAACTATCTCACTTGGTCTGCAGGAGGTCGTGGGTTAGATCTCGACCCTGACGCTTGTATAGTTGGAGTTTGCAGTGTCTCTCTCCCCGTGGTCGTGTGGATTTTTCTCCACATTACGAATCGACATCACGCGTTTTTGAGTATTTGGCTGCTGCTATACATTTCCACACGACGACGATAAGGCCACTTCGTTGAGCTATCATTTGTGATAGCCAGGTCGTTTCTGAAAAAAAAAAGCTACATGCTCAGTGAGGATTTACCTGGTAAAATAAAAAAATAGTTAGACGGAGCCAGTGCAGAGCCACGCATGACATTGGAGAAGAAGGGAGCCCACAATAGAGCCTGCCGTAAAGCACACGTACACACAATGGAGTGCTGCTCAGCGAACACAACGCGGGACAACGTGGATCTACCTAGCGGCGTCTAAATGCGATCGCGTCTCAGGGCACCGCACAAAAATTAGAGAGCACTGCTGTTGTGGTGCTGAGAGGCAGCCAACAGACTCGATTCTGATTGGTTGTTCCCCGTCATCTCGTGGCATCTGTTTAAAGGGAGCCTGGTCTAACTTCCTGAATTCTCATTGAAACTAAACGATGTTTATATTACATTTTTTTCGGTAAAGTCACGTAGAAGGGAAACAATAAAATAATAAAAATATGAAACAATGAAATTCTCACGACGTTTCGACTGCAACACAGGCAATCATCATCAGGTGTGAAAACCACAGCAATAAATTTTGAAAAAAGTGGCGGTTGTTTTAACGTTAGCACCACGGAGAGTGATTTGGCAGTTATTCAGATGGACGAGTCGATCTATGTTCGGAAAAGAGGAGTGGGGAGACGAAAATAATGGACGTTTCTGAAAGCCACCGTAAGTGTGAACAATCAATTAAGACCCGAAATGGTTTATCAAATCCTTCCAATAATTGCTAAGCCAGAATCCATCTTCTTGGTTGAGATTGTCTCTGTGTTTGTATATGTGGATAGCCTCATGAACGAATCTTTCATGGTAGCCAGATGGCTTGCAAAGAACCTCTGTCTTGGAGAAGTCAATGTCATGTGAGCCTACTGAATTATAACAGTGATCTGCCACGGCCGAGGTGTTGGTCCTACCGTGTTTTAGGTCTGCTTTGTGTTCACGAATGCGGTCCGAGACATGTCGTTTGGTTTCTCCAATGTAACTACTACCACAGAGGCAACTGAGTTTGTAGACGCCAGGGTACTGTATGTCTGGAATCAGACCAGGTAATATTACCAGGTAAGACCCCTCTGAGCTATATCGCTCTTTTATAGAAGCAACCTGGCCACCACAAATGATAGCTCAACGAAGTGGCTTGTCACCACGTGGACATTTATAGCAGCAGCCAAATACTCTTAAACGCACGTCGATCATAAATATGTTGGGAAAAAACCAGAGGACACAGAGAAAAATCCACGTGACCACGGGGAGAGACACCGCAAACTCCAAATATACAGCAGGCGTCAGGGCCAGGACCTAACCCACGACCTCCTGCACACCAAACGAGGTAGTTAACAACTTTCCACATTGAGGCCCTGGGTACTTTTTCCCTGATGATGCCTCACCTATTCACAAATGAAACATCGTGGACTTGTATTCTTGGTTCTTACCGAAAGAACCAAAAATATGAATCCCTGCAGTAATGAAAGCTTTAAATAGAAAATAAAAAATCTTGGACTTGGTTGCGAGATTTGCTCTTCAACTCGCCAACAATAATTTGTACGCTGTTTAAATGCTCGTGCACGCGACAATTTAACTCGTTTGTCTGTGTCGGTTGGCGGAGGATTGCACGACACACATCTGGTTATATCACTTACATGGCCTCACGAAAACAATCGGTCGGTAGTAAAACTACATCCCGCGGCGACGCTTCCTCTGCCGCCCCTCCCTGTGGCTGTGGTGCTCTCCGACCAACCCCCCCCCCCCCCCCCCCCCCCCCCCGACTGGCAGGCTGCACGGTACCGTGGGAGCGGTGGCGCTGGACCGCTCCGGCAACCTGGCGTGCGCCACGTCCACCGGAGGGATGACCAACAAGATGGTGGGCAGGGTTGGAGACACTCCGTGCATTGGTGAGTCACGCCGACGGCTGAACTACATGCGGTGACGCGGTTGGTACACGGGGGTGGCACGGTCACCTTGCGCGGCTGTCGGGGGCCGGCGTCGCCACTCGCCCCTTTTCGTGAGCTGCCCAACCGTAAAAGTTGCGCGCTTCAGTTGGCGGCTCGACTTCGAAGCGGGCTACGACGGAATCGCCGATCTTGCTGATGTTAGCCAATCCAATAGAGAGGGGCGTGGTGGGGTTACACGATTACTCGATCCAAGTATTGCTTGCCAATGAATCACTTGCCAATTAATTGATTGCCAGAGAATCTCAATGAATGGTCTTTTTCAAGATGGCTGCCCGTTCAATTTCACGCGACTGAGCGGAATCGATTACGATCATGCCTCGATTTACGATCCACAATGACCATATATGGGCAAAGACAACGCTCCCTTCGGCCAACGCCTTACTTTCTTCCATATATGGGCAAATCTCCGATCGGTGATTTTGTCGCGTTTCCGAATTCATCGTGTTAAAGCGCCGCACCTGTGGTCACCAACCCCCCGCCCCCTCGTGATCCGTGGATCAAACAAATCCCTCGAGACGCCGGTGTACAGCAGCAAGAGCAGTTTATGGGAACGCTGTCGCAAGAGGTCACACGTCTGGCGCAATGGCTCCTTCGCTGACTCCGCGTCGATGAATGAATGACCCGACCGTGGCCGCACTCGCAGGCCTGGCACGAGGTCCCTGGTGCTAACTCTCGGTTGAGGGTCGCACCGGAAGCCTCTTTTGTCTCCTGGATGTGTTTCCACTTTCTTGCACCGGAGAACCTCCTCGGTGCCTGGCCTGAGCGCCGCCAGGGTCGGGAGAGGCCTCGTACCGGGCCCGTGCATCGATACATCCCCTGAGCGCCACCGGGGTCGGGCAGAGACCTAGAGCCGGGCAGGCGGGCGGGCGGGCGGGCGGGGCGACGCCGGCTCGCGTGTTACGTCAAGTGCAATGACAACAACGACGATGACGATAACAACAACAACGGACGTAGGGGAAAAGGAACCAAGTGTTTTTAATTCGGGCTCTCGTGACAAACTCGCATCAACAATAGTTCTAAGATGCTTCGTAGGGGCACGACGCATGCAAGGGTGTGATCGCCCACAGGTTTACAGGATTGTATGAAAAGGAATTGTTTTCGTGTTTTGTCAAATTATTTTATATCAGATCTCAGCAGTGAAGGCTCAGTGAGCCGAGGGAATGCAGGGCTGGGCTCGTTACACCCCGAGATGTACTCCTGCATGGCGGGGGGGGGGGGTTGGGCGGGCAGTATAAAATATGTTGAAGATGATGTTAAAGTAATCGGTTCAAATCCAGTGCCGAGGCTGGGCGGCGTTTGATCGATATGGGGCCTGAGGAGGTGAGGAAGACCCAGAGCTTCGTGAATTTCGCGAGTGAGCCTTGGGCCCTCAATTTTAACGCCCGGTTCCTGGCAAGCCCACTCGTCGACCCCAAGTGGTGGCTTTGCGGTACGCACCGTGCGTTGAACGTTACTCCCCCAAAAAGCTTTCACCGCGCCCCCCACCCACCTGCTGCTTGCTGTGACGAAGGCAAGGGAGAGATGGCCCGCTAAGTAGTGCAAGGCGAAAGTTTTCGAGAGAGAGAGAAGGAATGCTCAGCCTCAGCCTTCTTGTGTTCTCGAGTCTCGACAACCAGCGGGGAAATGGCATTGGCTATGAACGAATTGCACCGAGAGATGGCGAGGTCGTGGGGCGAGTCGGCTCGCAATATCAAGGGTTGACCAGTTCAACCTTCGGATGGGGGGGGTCGACTCGGCTCAATATCCTTTCCTCCGGGCGTTGATAAAAAAATAGGTACCGCTTTGTGTCGGGGGATGGGAAGTCACCAATGGTTGAATCAGAATTCTGAATCTGTATTTATCCTGGCGAAATTCGATGAGCTATGAAGCTCTTTTTCACAGATAACACAATACAAAATATTGGAGTGCAAAGTAAATGTGAATGGTAAGACAATCACGAATCAATAAATAGGAAAATTAGATGAAGGACACAATTACAAATTGTACACGTTCATAAATACTTCATGAACTTGAACTTGTACAAAGAGTATTCTGACTCTCCCCCGCCATAGGAATGTGGCTCTGCAGGGGTGGGGTGGGAGGGGTGTTAATGGGAGGGGCACCCGCGCGTCGATGCCCGTTTAAGCGGCAGAAGCTCGCTTTGACTCGGGAACGACGTCCGTGAATGATCGCGATTCATTTTATTTTCCCATTGAATGACATCTGTGACACTACTGGACACGCGTGCAGCTACTGGACACGTGTGAACTACTGGACATGTGTGAAACTACTGGGTGTGTGTGAAACTACTGGACGTGTGTGAAACTACTGGACATGTGTGAAACTACTGGACATGTGTGAAACTACTGGACGTGTGTGAAACTACTGGACGTGTGTGAAACTACTGGACGTGTGTGAAACTACTAGACATGTGTGAAACTACTGGACATGTGTGGAACTACTGGACATGTGTGAACTACAGGACATGTGTGAAGCTACTGGACATGTGTGAAACTACTGGACATGTGTGAACTACTGGACATGTGTGAAACTACTGGATGTGTGTGAAACTACTGGACGTGTGTGAAACTACTGGACGTGTGTGAAACTACTGAACATGTGTGAACTACAGGACATGTGTGAAACTACTGGACGTGTGTGAAACTACTGGACATGTGTGAAACTACTGAACATCTTTGAAACTACTAGACATGTGTGAAATACTGGACATGTGTGAAACTACTGGGTGTGTATGAAACTACTGGACGTGTGTGAAACTACTGGACGTGTGTGAAACTACTGGACGTGTGTGAAACTACTGGACGTGTGTGAAACTACTGAACATGTGTGAAACTACTGGACGTGTGTATGAAACTACTTGACTTGTGTGAAACTACTGGACGTGTGTGAAACTACTGGACGTGTGTGAAACTACTGGACGTGTGTGAAACTACTTGACTTGTGTGAAACTACTGGACGTGTGTGAAACTACTGGACGTGTGTATGAAACTACTGGACGTGTGTGTGAAACTACTGGACGTGTGTGAAACTACTGGACATATGTGAAACTACTGGACGTGTGTATGAAACTACTGGACGTGTGTGTGAAACTACTGGATGTGTGTGAAACTACTAGACATGTGTGAAACTACTGGACGTGTGTGAAACTACTTGACATGTGTGAAACTACTGGACGTGTGTATGAAACTACTGGACGTGTGTGTGCAACTACTGGACGTGTGTGAAACTACTGGACATGTGTGAAACTACTGGACATGTGTGAAACTACTGGACGTGTGTGAAACTACTGGACACGTGTGAACTACTGGATATGTGAAAAAGAGCTTTACAGCTCATTGGATTCCTCCTGCAGTGTAAATAAATATTCTGATCCCGTGCACCACCACCACCACCACCACCCACCCACCCCTATGTCCCAGCTGGAGAACGTTGACTTCCTGTGCGCCGGGGTGAGAAGATGACATTTTGTGGCGGGCGGAGGATCCGCCCGTGTGTGTGTGTGCGTGTGTGTTGGGGCCTGCTCGCACGTTGCCTCGTGCCATTAGCACCCCTCCCCAAGTTTTCGTCAACCGAGCTCCCATCGTCATCGTCGTCATCATCATCGTGGTCCCCCCCCCCACCCCGCTTATCGCGCCGTACGATTAATTGGGCGGTCGGGGGCAGGGGGAGGGTGCCGTATTTACTTTTTGTACATTCTGCGGACTGCCTCGGTCCAATTGTCTGTGTGGTGTGTGTGTGTGGTTGCGTGTGTTCATCTGGAGTAAACACGACAAGGTTGTTCCACAATGGCAATGGACGAGGGGGCCGGAGGGGCGTTGAGGGCTCGTATTCACGCCACCCCTCCGCTCGGCGAGGCCTGCAGTCACATTGAGTTTATTTTATATTGACTTTGTATCGTCGCACGCTGTTTATCCAGGGACAGCTACACAAAGCCTCAAGACTTTGTTTTTCTTTAAGGGGAGGGGTCCTGCCAAGTTTATGGTGATTGGCGTGGTGGTGATCACCTGTGACCTTATAGCAATATACGCTTGGGTTTGATTCCCGACCCGGGCGCCTCTCTGTGCGGAGTCTGCATGTTCTCTCTCTCTATTCTAGTGAGTGTGTGAGAGTGAGTGTGTGTGTGGAGTCTGGATGTTATCTCTCTCTCTCTATTCTAGTGAGTGTGTGAGAGTGAGTGTGTGTGTGGAGTCTGCATGTTCTCTCTCTCTCCCTATTCTAGTGAGTGTGTGAGAGTGAGTGTGTGAGAGTGAGTGTGTGAGAGTGAGTGTGTGAGAGTGAGTGTGTGAGAGTGAGTATGTGTGTGGAGTCTGCATGTTCTCTCTCTCTGTATTCTAGTGAGTGTGTGAGAGTGAGTGTGTTTGTGGAGTCTGCATGTTATCTCTCTCTCTATTCTAGTGAGTGTGTGAGAGTGAGTGTGTGAGAGTGTGTGAGAGTGAGTATGTGTGTGGAGTCTGCATGTTCTCTCTCTCTGTATTCTAGTGAGTGTGTGAGAGTGAGTGTGTGTGTGGAGTCTGGATGTTATTTCTCTATTCTAGTGAGTGTGTGAGAGTGAGTGTGTGTGTGGAGTCTGTATGTTATCTCTCTCTCTCTCTATTCTAGTGAGTGTGTGAGAGTGACTGAGTGTGTGAAATCTGTATGTTCTCTCTCTCTCCCTATTCTAGTGAGCATGTGGGATAGAGTCATCTTGTTGGGCGACTTCAATGCCCGAGTTGGTTATGATGCTGGCACCTGGTCTGGAGTGATTGGAAGGCATGGGCCAGATCAGCTCAATAACAACGATAGGAGGCTGCTAGATTTTTGTGCAGCCCATGGGCTTGTAATTACCAACACGCTGTTCCGGCATTGGCGCATCCACACAACATCATGGATGCATGCCGGGTCCAAGCAAGAACATCTGCTGGACTACATAGTGACGGAACAGCGGATGCAGGCCCATGTCCTTGACACCAGGACCTACCGTGGAGCTGATCTGCCCACTGAACTTGTCATCTGTAAGATGCACCTGCCATTCTTCCACTCCGGTGGTGGGTGCATACCCAGGACCCGATTCAAACTCTGAGAACAGGAAAGGCACCGGGCAGAGATGATCTCCCAAGTGAAATGCTGAAGGAGGGTGGCGTTTGTGCACAGACTGCCCTACATGACATAACAACAGTCTGGACCACTGGATGGGTTCTGCAGGATTGGAAGGATGCCCTGGTGGTCCCCCTCTTCAAGAAGGCGGACTGCACAGACTGTAACAACTACAGGGGCAGCTCACTCCTCAGTGTACCGGGAAAGGTCCTGGCAAGGATTATTCAACATTGCCTTGCCAGGCACGCTGAGGAGAGGCTTGCGGAGCCCCAATGCGGTTTCAGGAAAGGGCGGTCCTGCACAGATGCCATATTTTCTGTCCGTCTGCTACATCAGAGGTGTAGGGAATTCCAACAAGACCTACATCTCTGTTTTATTGACCTGGTCAAGGCCTATGATACCATCAGTAGGCCTGGGCTCTGGGTTGTTCTTCGTGCTTTTGGAGTCCCTGACCCTCTGCTCACGATCATTAAGGACCTTCATGATGGTGAGCGGGCCCAGAACAGTTCACCTGGCCTCAACTTGCACATAGCGTGGCACAAACGTCGTGGTGATGTCACCTCCACTTAATGGCGAATGGCGCTTGATGTTGTTGAGTCTGTATGTTCTCCCTGTTCTAGTGTGTGAGTGTGTGGAGTCTGTATGGTCTCTCTCTCCCTGTTATAGTGTGTGCTAGTGAGTGTGTGAGTGTGTGGAGTCTGTATGTTCTCTCTCTCACCCTGTTCTAGTGAGCGTGTGCTAGTGAGTGTGTGAGTGTGTGCAGTCTGTATGTTCTCTATCTGTCCCCCGTTCTGCACGGCTTTCATCCAGGTTTCTCTGGTGTCTTCCCAAACCTAATGAAACGCGAACGCATTGTCACCGGTATTGGCCAAGACATCCCAATGCTCAAAGATGACCGACAAATAACTCAATGAGGCATCACACAAACAGCAACAGCAGCAACGTCGCCCCCTGCTGTGAGAACTTAGCGGGACCCTTCGGAAAAATAGTCTGGAGACTCGTGCATGCTCCCTGGGTTCGACAAGGGAAATAATAATATTGGTGCTAATATTATGATCGCCAATTTTGACCGTGATGCTGGTGCACAAAGGCCCGCTTTCATTTATTTTTGTATAGCATCTCGGGATCTTGAACGTCCCAGCGTGAAGCACAGACAGTGCATCATATTGCCGTAGGAAAGAAATTCACCCCAGTATTAACCAGGGTGGCCGTGGGCTCCAAACACGAATCTCTGGAGCATGCGGTAAGACACGCGGCCATGACGGCTCACCGGAGCCGCGTGACCATAACGGCTCATCGGAGTCACGTGACCATGACGGCTCACCGGAGTCACGTGACCATGACGGCTCACCGGAGCCACGTGACCATGACGGCTCACCGGAGTCACGTGACCATGACGGCTCACCGGAGTCACGTGACCATGACGGCTCACCGGAGTCACGTGACCATGACGGCTCACCGGAGTCACGTGACCATGACGGCTCACCGGAGTCACGTGACCGTGACGGCTCACCGGAGTCACGTGACCATGACGGCTCACCGGAGTCACGTGACCGCGACGGCTCACCGGAGTCACGTGACCGTGACGGCTCACCGGAGTCACGTGACCATGATGGCTCACCGGAGTCACGTGACCATGACGGCTCACCGGAGCCACATGACCGCGACGGCTCACCGGAGTCACGTGACCGTGACGGCTCACCGGAGCCACATGACCGCGACGGCTCACCGGAGTCACGTGACCGTGACGGCTCACCGGAGTCACGTGACCATGATGGCTCACCGGAGTCACGTGACCATGACGGCTCACCGGAGTCACGTGACCATGACGGCTCACCGGAGTCACGTGACCATGATGGCTCACCAGAGCCACATGACCGTGACGGCTCACCGGAGCCACATGACCGCGACGGCTCACCGGAGTCACGTGACCGTGACGGCTCACCGGAGTCACGTGACCATGATGGCTCACCGGAGTCACGTAACCATGACGGCTCACCGGAGTCACGTGACCATGACGGCTCACCGGAGCCACGTGACCATGACGGCTCACCGGAGTCACGTGACCATGACGGCTCACCGGAGCCACGTGACCATGACGGCTCACCGGAGCCACGTGACCGTGACGGCTCACCGGAGTCACGTGACCATGATGGCTCACCGGAGTCACGTGACCATGACGGCTCACCGGAGCCACGTGACCGTGACGGCTCACCGGAGTCACGTGACCATGATGGCTCACCGGAGTCACGTGACCATGACGGCTCACCGGAGTTACGTGACCATGACGGCTCACCGGAGTCACGTGACCATGACGGCTCACCGGAGCCACATGACCATGACGGCTCACCGGAGTCACGTGACCATGACGGCTCACCAGAGCCACGTGACCATGACGGCTCACCAGAGCCACGTGACCATGACGGCTCACCAGAGTCACGTGACCATGACGGCTCACCGGAGCCACATGACCATGACGGCTCACCGCAGTCACGTGACCATGACGGCTCACCGGAGCCACGTGACCATGACGGCTCACCGGAGTCACGTGACCATGACGGCTCACCGCAGTCACGTGACCATGACGGCTCACCGGAGTCACGTGACCATGACGGCTCACCGGAGCCACGTGACCATGACGGCTCACCGCAGTCACGTGACCATGACGGCTCACCGGAGTCACGTGACCATGACGGCTCACCAGTGTCACGTGACCATGACAGCTCACCGGAGTCACGTGACCGTGACGGCTCACCAGTGTCACGTGACCATGACAGCTCACCGGAGTCACGTGACCGTGACGGCTCACCGGAGTCACGTGACCGTGACGGCTCACCGGAGCCACGTGCTGGGTGGATTGTAACATCGCAGGATCGTGTGAGGTAACGACCGCTTGGCAGGGGGGAGATGTTCATCTAGCAGTGGATTGACCATAGCTGATGGTGCTAATTATCGGGGCATGTGGTGATGACGGTGGTGGTGGTGGTGGTTGTGCTGGCCCCGTGTGTCGTCCACACAGGGAGCGGAGGCTACGCAGACAACCAGCTGGGCGCGGTGTCGACCACGGGCGATGGGGAGTCCATCATGCGCGTGGTGCTCGCGCGTCTCGTCCTCTTCAACGTCCAGCAGGGTGAGGCACCGGCTCCCATCGCCACGGTGGACAAGCGCAGGCCCAGGCCTCCGCCTCCGGCTGGCGCGGCGTCGTGCGATAAGGCCTCTGATGGTCGCCGGCACTTGCGCCGCCGTGTGTGTGTGTTGTGCGTATGTTGTATGTGTGTTTGGTGTGTGTATGTTGTGTGTGTATGTTGTGTGTGTGGTGTGTATGTTGTGTGTGTATGTTGTGTGTGTATGTTGTGTGTGTTGTATGTTGTGTGTTTATGTTGTGTATATGTTGTGTGTTTGCGTATGTTGTAAGTGTGTGTGTATGTTGTGCGTGTGTGGGTGTTGTGCGTATGTTGTATGTGTGTTTGGTGTGTGTATGTTGTGTGTGTGGTGTGTATGTTGTGTGTGTATGTTGTGTGTGTATGTTGTGTGTGTTGTATGTTGTGTGTTTATGTTGTGTATATGTTGTGTGTTTGCGTATGTTGTGCGTGTGTGTGTGTTGTGCGTATGTTGTATGTGTGTTTGGTGTGTGTATGTTGCGTGTGTGTGTGGTGTGTGTGTGGTGTGTGTTGTATGTTGTTTGTGTGTGTGTTGTAGGTATATTGTGTGTGTGGTGTATATTCTTAGCTCTTTCGGTAAAGTCACGTTGAAGGGAAACAATAAAATAATATTATTGTTTCCCTTCAACGTGACTTTACCGAAAGAGCTAAGAATATGAATTACTGCAGTCACGAAAGCTTTAAATCAAAATTTGTGTGGTGTATGTTGTGTGTGTGTATGTTGTGCGTGTGTGTGTGTATGTTGTGCGTGTGTGTGTGTTGTGCGTGTGTCTGTATGTTGAATACGTGTGTGTATGTTGTATACGTGTATATGTTGTGTGTGTGTATGTTATGTGTGTGTGTGTTGTGTGTATGTTGAACTTTCCACCGTACATCACCAACCACGCTAATCGGAGGTGCCAGGGGAAGGATAACGAACTAAACGCACAAAGCAGTCGTAAAGCAATGACTTCTCAATCTAGATGATTTACAAATGCACAGCTCCAGAAAAGCAGCTTGAGCTTTCTTCTTCTTCTTCATCTTATAGTCCGCTGTCAAGCAGCGTTCACCTTTTCTGTCCCTTGACCTCTTCTCCAGAAGCTCTTCCGTCGATCTCTAGCTCCTGAGAACGGGGCTCAGCCCACGTCGGTTTCTGCCCCGTGTAACCGCACTGCCCCGCGCTGCCCCGCGCTGCCCCGTGTAACCGCGCTGCCCCGTGTAACCGTGCTGCCCCACGTGATCACACTGCCCCGCGCTGCCCCGTGTAACCGCGCTGCCCCACGTGATCACACTGCCCCGCGCTGCCCCGTGTAACCGCGCTGCCCCGCGCTGCCCCACGTGATCACACTGCCCCGCGCTGCCCCGTGTAACCGCGCTGCCCCGGCGGGCCGACTGTTTCTTGGGCAGGCATGAGCCTGGAGGAGGCGGCCGACTCGGCGCTGAGTCACATGACGGCGCGGGTGGGCGGCACGGCGGGCCTCGTGCTGCTGGCGCCTGACGGCCGCTGGGCCGCGCGCTGCAACTCGCTCCGCATGTCCTGGGCGGCCGCCTCACCCGGGGCCGCCCTGCTTCACTACGGCCTCGAGCGTGGGGAGATCCTCACTGAGCCGGCGCCACCGGTGCCGCTCACCGGGCCTGGGCTTGGGGCTGGGCCCAAGCAGTGACCCGGGGGGAGGGGGCGGGGTGGGGAGGACGGTGGGGTGGACGGCGAACGTCGGCGTCGTTCGCACGCTGGCGGTGATCGCGGGCGGGGGGGGCGTGCGGCGCTGAGACGTCGGTCGGGCTCTGGGCCGCACGGGAGAGGTGGCAGCGACGTGCCGGCGTGGGTAGGAGGGGAGACGCGGCTCTGTCAGCAAAGCCAGAGTGATTTCCAATGAGGCACTGTTCACAGCCCTGATCCAGCCATGGAAATCCCACATTCCTGCGGCGGGGGGCGAGTCTATCCATAAGACGACTACTGTCGGCTTCCCCCACAACGTGGCACCCGTTTTATCATCCCCCGGGATGGATGATGGGCTGAGTCGACCGCTGCCGGATGAATGCTTCGCCCCACGCCGCGCCGAGCGGGAGGGTAAGGTTTGACGCGTCGCGTGCGAGCGGCAGCGCTTGCGAACGTCGCGAGCTGTACATTGGCGGCGTTTGTCTCTCGTGGAAATGGCGGACGGGGCTTGGGTAAGAAGAAAAATGGATTCACGTGGAGGCTTCCCGCCGGTGTGTCGAGGCCTCGCGGCCACACGTGTACACCGGGGCGCGCGTGCCGGCGAGGCGGAGGGGCCCCCGAGGAGCGTGTCCCTGTCCTTTACTGGACCCCCCCACATGCTCTGTTCCTCAGGTTCTCGTTTTAAATTCGCGGGAGGTGTGTTCAGAATCGCTGTGTAGGCGGTACGTCTGCGTGCGTCCGTGCGTGTGTGTCTGTGCGTGTAGGGAGCGGTGGTGTGGCGGTCAGCACGCTCCACTACGAAACTGGCGGCCCGAGTTCGATTCCCACTCACGGCCAAAACCAGTAACGAGTATTTGAACTGGTCCTTGGCCTCCTCTAGGTCGACTCAGCCTCAAATGAGACAGGCAGCTGGTCATGGTGTTGGCCACCCACCCCCTTGTGTGCCGTGCTGGCCTTTAAAGGTGCTCGCTAACAACACTTGCCCCTACAGTCTGTTCAGGCTATACGGGGGATCTTTGTCTTTGTGTGTGTGTGTGCTGCTCGTTAACAGCACTTGTCCCAACAGTCTGTTCAGGCAATATGGAGGATCTTTGTCCCTGGAGCGGTGGTGTAGCGGTTAGCGCATTGCTCTACGAACTCTGCCACCCGAGTTCGATTCCCACTCATAGAAAACACCGGTGACGCTTGTCTGAACCGATCCTAGGCCTCCGCTAGGTCGACTCAGCCTCAAATGAGTACCTGTTGCAGTGTGTAAACATCGCTGCTGGGGAGACAAAGGCCACCCACCCAGCTTCATAGGTGATACTTTCCCAAACAGGTGACACTTTCCCCAACAGTCTGTTTAGGCTTCACGGGGGGTCTTTGTGTGTACAGCCCGTTTTGCCACTCCACTGCTAGACGAGGGCTTCCCCCACTCTGAGTCGGTCTTCTGCGGTAGTTTATCTGTACTTCACCAGGGTGCCGCGATGCTGCGGTGGTGAGATGTTAACGACGTCACCTGGTATACAGGAGGTTCGATCCCGGCCCTGACGCCTGCTGTATATTTGGAGTTTGTTTGTCTCTCTGTCTCCCCGTGGTCGCGTGGATTTATTCTCTCCGGCTCCTCCGGTTGTTACCCCCACATTAAGAAACAACGTCACACGTTTAGAGTATTTGGCTGCTGCTATAAATGTCCACGCCATAAGCCACTTCGCTGAGCTATCATTTGTGATGGCCAGGTCGCTTCTGATAAAACGAGCTACACAACGTTTAGTTGAGTACTGAAGGAGCATCCATCGATTGAAGCCACTGTCATTGTCGTTTGTTCCTGTGAAAATTAAAGGGTTTTTTTCCTGTGGCCCCTACAGCCGCTCTCAAGCCGTTTCTTCTTGAGCGCCCGCGTGGTCTTCGCTCCGGCGACGGCGAACTCCCCAGGCCGCCGGGACCACGAGTTGGCCGCGTGCCGTCGTCCCCCTGATCTTCCGCTCGCTCGCTCCCTCGCTCGCTCACCCGCGGCGTGACCCGAGCGGGCCGCTCGTTGCGAGGCTTTTTTTGTCGCAGCGGACAGAGCGGCCGCCCGTCCCGGTTGACGCTGCGGCGCACGTCAACCGTTGGATACTCGGCGCCGTCCGCCTAGCGGTGGACGCGAAACGCCCTCGAGGCGTCGTTCGCAAACAAAAGTGGGCCGCTATGCACACGCGCCGGCATCGTGGTTTCACCGCAGATTTACTAATTTGGGAAGTGCATCGTGGTGGCATCGGCCACTCCTTGCAAAACTAAAGTTCACCATGGGAGTCCAGTTCACCGTATTAGTCCATATTCTTGGTTCTTTCGGTAAAGTCACGTTGAAGGGAAACAATAAAATAATAAAATATATATAAAACAATGAAATTCTCAGGACGTTTCGACTGTAACCCAAACAGTCATCGTCAGGTGTTACAGTCGAAACGTCGTGAGAATTTTATTGTTTTATATATATTTTATTATTTTATTGTTTCCCTTCAACGTGACTTTACCGAAAGAACCAAGAGTATGAATCACTGCAGTCACTGAAAGCTTTAAATCATATTAGTCCAGTTTATCATGGGAGTCCAGTTGACCACGGTAGTCCAGTTTACCATGGGAGTCCAGTCCCATATTGAAGTCCAGGTCACCATCTAAGTCCAGTTCACCATGGGAGTCTCTTTAAGTGACCGCTTCGTGACCATTGTTAATTGAAGGACCATCGCTGTCTCGTATTCACACATGGGGCATCGCAGCTTTTTAAAAATTTACTTATTGATTTTTTTTAAAAACCTTTTTACCGAATTCGTTATAAAATGAAAAATGTCTCGTTGTTGGTTTGCCGAACCCCCCCCCCAGGGCCAGATCATGGTCCCGTGAGGTCAGTAGTCACGTGTCTTTTGGAGGCCCCCCCCCCCCCCCGCTTTCCTATATTGGTGTCTTTCTTGTCTTTCGCCTCGCAAAATCATTCACTAGATCGTCAAAATCTAGCTGTCTGACAAGGTCTGACTCTTGACACAAGTGGCAATGAGCTGAGACGTGTTTGGCACATGCTACTCCTCAGCTAATTTTTTTATTCTGCCTAGAAGGGAAAATGTCCCCTCAACCTGGCAGTTTTTCACTGGAAAAGTTGGGAAAATCCGAAGTGCCACGAGAACATTGGGGAACACTCAAACTTCTCAAGCAATTTAGTTGGGCACTTCTCACCCTCAGAGTCAGACATAAAAGACTGGAATTTGATGAGTTCGTTGGCAAAGTTCATGTCCAGGTTTGATGTATTTGCAGCGGAGAGTGAATTTACCTTTTCCACTATGACATCACTGTTAGACACCTGATCTGACATAAACATAACTCCAAAGAGACTGGTCAAACGCTTGTAAGCATCCAAGCAATGTTCATGGCATGCCACTAGCTTATCAATGATTACATAAAATGTTTCTATTTTGAACTTCTCCCTCCCCTCAGGTGTCACACCTGCCTCTGAGCTCTCATCTGCAAATGTTTTTGCGTTTCCTCTTTCGCTGAAGATCGTGCTTATATGACTGAGAGACACCTGTCACATTCAAGGCTGCCCTTTCAAAAGCCTCAAACTGGTCTCGCTGTCCCGCCACAGAATCTCTCAATGAAGACAAAAGCTGTGCTGCTACGGAGATGTCAACGTCACTTTTCTGTAGGTGCATGCAAGTGTTATGTCCCAGAAATGTACCATGAACACCACCTCTAAGGTGTCCAATTTAGCACAGAGACCAGCGGCCTCAATTCGAGTATCTCTTTTCTCATTACAATCATTGCACATACCACCCAAGACCTCTCTAATGCGGGTGTCATTTCTCCACAGTGCCTGGTTGACTCTGCCCGAGCACTCCACCGAGTACTGGACAGCGATTTTAATGCCAGTCTGACATCTGTCTTCCGAAAGACTTTCCCCCATCTGTGTGTGGATGAAGAGCAAAATGTGTACGGTGACTGCAACATGTTAAAAAAGACTCGTCAGCCTCTGGGCTACTTCCGTCAACTCACACTGTAAGCGCTGCGGGGTCTGGGGGGCCCTAGTGGTGAGCCCACGCTTTAAGTACCGAGAGGCCTCACATTGTAAGCGCTGTGGGGCCTGGGGGCCCTCGTGGTCAGCTCACGCTTTAAGTACCGAGGGGCCTCACACTGTAAGCGCTGAGGGGTCTGGGGGGCCCTAGTGGTGAGCCCACGCTTTAAGTACCGAGAGGCCTCACACTGTCAGCACTCAGGGGCCCGGGGGCCCTAGTGGTCAACTCACGCTTTAAGTACCGAGGGGCCTCACACTGTCAGCACTCAGGGGCCTGGGGGCCTTAGTGGTGAGCCCACGCTTTAAGTACCGAGAGGCCTCACACTGTAAGCGCTGAGGGGTCTGAGGGGCCCTAGTGGTCAGCTCACGCTTTAAGTACCGAGGGGCCTCACATTGTAAGCGCTGCGGGGCCTGGGGGCCCTAGTGGTCAGCTCACGTTTTAAGTACCGAGGGGCCTCACATTGTAAGCGCTGCGGGGCCTGGGGGCCCTATTGGTCAGCTCACCCTTTAAGCACCCAGGGGCCTCACATTGTAAGGGCTGCAGGGCCCGGGGGCCCTAGTGGTCAGCTCACGCTTTAAGTACCGAGGGGCCTCACACTGTCAGCACTCAGGGGCCCGGGGGCCCTAGTGGTCAGCTCACGCTTTAAGTACCGAGAGGCCTCACACTGTCAGCACTCAGAGGCCCGGGGGCCCGAGTGGTCAGCTCACGCTTTAAGTACCGAGAGGCCTCACATTGTAAGCGCTGAGGGGTCGGGGGGCCTTACTGGTCAGCTCATGCTTTAAGCACCCAGGGGCCTCGTGGTCAGCTTGAGCTGTGTGCACCGAGGGCCCTGGCGTTCAACTTCTTTCGGAAGTCTTGGGCCACGCACCGCGTGCAGCCTGAGGCTTGGAGGCCCCCTGGCAGTCCGAGGCCCCGGGGTACTGGTACCACTGGCCCGGTCCATAATCTAGCCTTGCTCCCCCCCCCCCCGCCCCTTGCTCAAATCTATGCCCGCAGGCGCGAGTGGCTCCCGAACGCGGCTCGCGATTGAAATTCCAAATTCAGCCGACAGAGGGAGCCAAGGGATTGGTGTACAGACGCTGTGGAGATGATAGGCAGCCAGCAACCACATGGGCCAGGCACCAGCAGCCACGCGGGCCAGCCACCAGCAAGCTGATTTACTCCAGGAGTGTCGGGTTTGTTGTGAATACATCTGCAGGAAAATGGCCAAGTTAAGAGCCCAGGAGGTGAACCTATTGCACGTTGGTGGAATGCCACCTCCGTCGATATTTGGCAGATAACAAGTTTTTGACGACCTGATGCATATTGGCCCCAAGCTGCTTCCCGCCTCCCAACCACACACGGAGCACATACAGAGTGCATACACACAGCACGTGCAGAGTGCATACACACAGCACGTGCAGAGTTCATACACACAGCACGTGCAGAGTTCATACACAGCACGTGCAGAGTTCATACACAGCATATACACAGTGCATACACACAGGACGTATAGAGTTCATACACACAGCACGTGCAGAGTTCATACACACAGCACATGCAGAGTTCATACACACAGCATATACACAGTGCATACACACAGCACGTGCAGAGTGCATACACACAGCACGTGCAGAGTTCATACACGGAGCAATACACAGTGCATACACACAGCATATACACAGTGCATACACACAGCATATACACAGTGCATACACACAGCATATGCACAGTGCATACACACGGAGCACATACAGAGTGCATACACACAGCACGTGCAGAGTTCATACACACAGCATATACACAGTGTATACACACAGGACGTATAGAGTGCATACACGGAGCACATACACAGTGTATACACACAGCATATACA